AAAATTTATTTATAAATAATAAAGGCTACTCCATTATACCTGTGTTCAAGTAGTTTTCACTAGAAACTACATATGGTGCATTTTTGTAAGTTTCCATTAGAAGCTGAATATGGTGTTTTCTTGGCCTTTCAATAGTTGCAAGCAAAATTAGGCTGTACTGCAATAACATTACAATTTAAATTCAACGTTTTAGCTTTTTCATATTCCTTTACATGTCACTACGTTTAAATAGGTTGACTTGGGACATTTTTTCGTGGTTTTTGTATTAGACCCGTCGTCCATTTGTTTGTAAGTCAATGGACGAGTGTAATAACATCCAAACGCTGAGCGATCAAGATATTTATTGAATTGAATCTAACCAGGGCTCTATATTTATATTTGAAGAATATTATGGATGAACGGAGTTGTTTCTTACTACCACTTTATTACTAGGTACCTACAAAAAAGTATACAGAACTATTACCACCTGCATCAGCTATTAAAATTACAAACATATATGCAAAAATGTTACCGCTACAGGATTTATTACATTTTGCATATTTCTTACAACGTTTCGTTTCAAAAATGGTCAGCAACGAGTGACGAAAATAAACGAATGAAACAAGAAAGGAAAACTATGGTACAAAGACGTACCCCTTTCGAGAAGAGCTTGGATTAATCATTGATAAACCACTACAAGGAGGTAATACCAATAACGGTAACACAGCGAGAAGGTTTTTTTATAATGCAGCCTGCTCTGCTGAAATGACAGGAGTCCATGAAATTTTGATAAAGCGACTGTATGTAATATTTCAAGGCTCATCGTCTGGCATACTGATAGATTCCCAAAAATTTGGGGAATATGCTTTGAAAACTGCAAGAATATACATCAATAATTATGATTGGTATTATCTTCGGTACAGAAAATATTGATTCACGGAGAAGGTATGATTAACCATTTTGCAGTGTTTGCTTTCACAAGACGATCAAGAATCTCATAGTAAAGACTACATCAAATTTAGAGTACACCACGCAAGAAAGTGCTTAAGATCTGCTACAAATGAAAATTTAATGTATTTCACACGTTACTTTGTACTTCTGATCCATATATTACCTACTAGTAACCGAAAACCTCATGTTAAAAATCGAAAAGAGCTTGACAAGGAATCGCTACGTCTATTGAAAGTGGACCAACTCATCACTTTTCCTGAAAAAGATTTTATATAACAATAATAATAATAATAAGTCATGATAATAATCATAATAGGTCATAATAAAAGAGTGAGGCTCGAGTCTATAGATACTTATCCGAAATAATAACATTTATGATTTAAATTTTTACTTAATTTATTTTTTTATTTTTTTTTATTTTATATTTTCTGAGTAAAATTTATAATCTTATTTAATTTATTTTATTTTATAAAGAATTGCAACATGTAGTACGAATTTGTAACACGGTATTTCTATTTTAATTTGAAAATAAATATTGTGTAGGATTAACCAAAGAGAGATTTCAAGATATTTCAGTTTTTTTTCTTCTCTCAATTACGGTTAGTTAAATATAAATGTATATACGTTTACAACTGTCATAATTCCTACTGTGTACAAAAAAGTTGATCTCGAAAAACAAAAAAGTTAGTTTTTTGATCCATAACTGACCCTAAATTTCCCATATTGCGCCGTCCGCATCGCTGTGCTATCGGCACTATGCCGCGCCACCACTGCCGCCTACTGTTGTCCAGTAAGCCTTATATTTATTGCGTATTTAAAGTAACCAAATCGTAGAAAATCCCGCCACGCGTTAAAAAGTTTTTACAAACTTTATGAAGATCGATTCAAGTGCAAACGACCTAACAATTTTTTGTATTGATTTATTTAAATGCGATTTTCAAGCGAATCGATTCAATATAAAGGCAAATCGAATCATCTAGATCAGAAAGCAAAAATATTAATATATAAATAATATGAATAAAACTTTATTTACAACAAAACAATACCTATTTAGTTGGAAATAGTTTTTCCCCTCGATTTTGGGCTGTAACGGATCTTAATCCGATTTAAGCCCGGCGTTAACAAAGCGCCGGGTTAAACCCCGGACGCTTGCCCTTCTCTGCTCCAGTATAGTATACATGAAGGCAAAATTTTACAAAAGTAGCTGATGAAATAGGACAGAGTTTTACCCATTTTCAATGGTGGCATAAGAGCATCACATAGGACAGCACAACACCTACCACCTTCAGCTATAGCGCTTTCAAGGATGTTTATATGGACATCAGCATCATATACACCGTCCTGAAATGAAGAACATCACAGAAAGAGGTACTCTTTATACTACGTCAACCGTATTAATTGGTTACACAGTAATGTTACCCACCAATACATAATCAACAGGCTTGTTCAAAAGCAATGCACAATTCTCTAGCAAGTATCTGTGCTGCGTCTTCAAACTTCCTATACGATCGTTACGAGCCTCTTTAGCCTTTGCCTACAAACATTCTCAAATTAGTTCTAATTCTACAAATAAAATAAAACATGCAAGTCTAATCACAAGTTTTATTAACTTGCTTGTCTTTGTAAGTCTCAGTAGCCAAAGCTAAAGTGCTCGTGGACTTCTTGCTCTTCTTCTCCTCCTGTCGATTAGTGACATCGAGGATAGCCTCCAAGTTAGTTCTATCCACCTCAACATGGTAGGCATCGCCGAAACTTGGTCTCGGTGGAAGATAAGAATGCCTCTTTGAAGGATGCTGTTCAGTATGTTGAGCAAACTCTTTATTAGGGAATTCTGCCTGACTGCCGCCAACTTTATCATCGGACATAGTAACAGCCTACCAGCAACAGAAAAATTAAATTAATTATAAGTTCTGTATTCACTTTTCCGACAGACAATATATTTATTTACAAATAAAAATGCCTCACGTTTCCAACAACTCACTCAATCAAGAAACAATTACGTCACAATTCTTTTGTTTCTTAATTTGTTTCTGAAAAATTCGAATTTCAATATTTTAATTTTTTTTTATTAGCCTTTAGGCTACTATCAGACGGATTGCAAGCTTGCAGTTAAAGTTCAACTACTTGCAGTTGAAACTTCGACTGCATGCAGTTGAGACGTTGGCTGCTTACAGTTGTACTTCGACTGCATGCAGTTACTGCTTTGACAGCATTTATCCACGCGACACGTTTTCGTATTAAGGTGGATTCACATTGCACAAATTCTGGCAATATATTGCCGCAATTTATCGCGTTACGCGATAAACCTTAGCTCCTAATTGGTCAACTCAAGGTCATAACGTGGAACGCGATAAATTGCGGTAAAATATTGCCAGAATCGTTCATTGTGTATCCACCTTTAGGTTTCATGATAGATACTTGGCTGCTGCAATTCGATTTTACTATGAATAAAAATGTGTAAAAAAGGCTAAGGTTAATAACCATACTGCCTGGTCTTCCGAAGCCACTTAATTTCTTTGGTAGAAATAATCAGATAATAACGATCATTACACCTAAGGACATAATAATCTGATCTCAAAAATAAGAAATTGGACAGTGCTATTCTTAAATTTGTGAAACACATTTTCTTTTTAAGGGGGAAAGTCAAGGTTTTATGTAATCTAATACCTAATAGATGGCGTTGGTAAGGCGAAATAATAGTTTATTATAATAATAATAATAATAATAAATTTCTTTATTTCGGACTTAAATTATCCATAGTATGTTAATAACAGCAAAAACTTAAAGTAAGGTTAGTACAAACAAAATGAAAATTCTAAAACCACAACTACAGCTCCCATTGGGCCACACCTCTTGTTTGACTCATCCAATATTCTGCAATTGGACAGTCAAACCTCCAAGCGATAGCGTTCAGAATTATTACGATATTCGCAAAATTGGCAGCCAAACGTTATACTTTTATTGTATACGCGATTGGAGGAATTCGTGATACATTTAAAATTCATATAACTTTTCACAAACAATTTTTCATTAGATAAAAAAATATCCATTATCCGCTCGAAACTTGGTACACACATACAAAGGTATGGTTGTTGTTTTTTCAATTCTTTCCGTAAAGGAAAAAGCAAAGGTTTCACACCGTACAGCCAAGTCTTGGCTGTATGATGTGAAACCTAAAAATAGGTATTCTAGTGTCCTCTTTGTCCAAAGCATGAATACTGAATGTCTAGAGTTCGAGACTCGGTCTAATTTTTTATATTTTTCTTTAGAAGTCAGGTTTTTTTTTTAAAATAAAAATATATAACGCACACACACTCAACATAGCCCCGCACTAGAGAAACCCTGTGTCGCGGGTGCCATGGACACACACATAGACAATCACAAATTACACCCAAACTCACGAAACAAATAAATGTAGGCCATACAAATATTTGTCCTGGCCCGTCAATCGAACCTGGGACCTCGACGTGGCAGTCTGGCATGGTAACCATACGGCCACGGATGCAGTTAATAAATGCAATATGCAATAATATCATTTTCGAGGTATTTGGATGTGTTCATTAGGAATATGGCACTTATTTTGAATTCCAAGATAGCGGGCGCGACTTTGCAAATAATGGCAAGTTGAGTATCGTTTTCGAGATATTTGGGGGTGCTCATTACTATAATAACATTTTTATTTTTTTTCTATACTTTGAGGAGAATCCCGATATTTAAACGAAGTCGCACTTGTATCCAAGCCAAAATTATTAATAAAAAAAATTGTTAATAGAAAATAGAAAAAGAAGCACTACATATCGAAGATATTTAATTCTTGTAATGGAATACAAGAAACAGATTACTCTCAGTCTTGGCTGTATAGCGCATTTGTGCCTTTGCCTTTTCCAATGAAAAAAAACTGTTAAAAAAAGAAATAGAAGTTCAGGACACGGACACATGAGGAATTCCCGCGAAAACATATCAGAAAATTATACTTTTGAAGTTTTGAAGGCTTTATATTAGACTAAGCGCCTATCCCAAAAGAAAAAAAATACTATTATATTTTTCAGAGAATATTGTTACATCTGAAAATGCGCCGTAACTGGAGAGGTCGTTACAGAAATAACTGGAATCGCTCAAAGAAAAGCAATATAAGTGCCGACAATCGAAGTATAAACAATTCATCAACGTCCTCACGTCTTTCAAGTAGTGCAGGTTCGTCGCGAGCGCCAGCAAATCAAGTTCCCTTGGCAGTTCCAATTACTACGGAAAATAATATATGGAAACTGTACTTTCCTTCACAAGGCACGTATTATTTTGATATACTATGAAGTGTGGATAACTCACTATGAACTACGAATACTACATAAGCTTCTGCTAGCATGTTCAAATTTGTATTGTGTAGATACAGGTCGCATTATGACAAACCTTCGTGGTTTAAAATGCGATTAGAAACATATTTGTGTATTTTGTCCTTTATACAATAAATAAATTAAAAAAAAAAAAAATAAGTAACTTATGTTAGCTCAAAACTAAAAGGACAGAATTTGGCACAGACCCGAGTCACATATTTGAAAATTGGAAAAAAGAAACTGCTTATAAATTATTTATATAAATTTCCACAGAAAATCCATCGACTCCACAAATAGTTGATCAGATAAAGAATTTAACAACTTACATTAATAAACATAAGAGTTTATTTGACTTGGAGAAAATTGATTCTACACGGAGTGTCCCTTTAGATGTGCAGAACTTGCAGAGTGACTCTGATTTCTCTACTGGATGGCCAACCTTCAATAATGATCTATTTGAAAAACCTGAGAGTACCTTAAGGTTGTTGGAGTACTGTTTACATGAGGTATTATGATGCTTTATGTGTGCAACTACTTTGAACCAATAGACTTACGTTTTGCTCTTCTCTTATCTCTGTGTGTATGTTGGTTTTATAGAAATCTATACTTAATATTGTTATGGTAAGGTTCAAGTGAGAATAAAAAGTTAACTTTCTTGAACCAGTAGAAGAAGAAGAGCTCAAGAAGAGACCATGCATCAATGCCTTGTCCTGTGACACAAAAAGCCCCAAAGCATTCTCTTCTGTATTACTTTGTGCTGTGTACTTAATTGGAGGGGTCACAGATCTTTGCATTATTACAACAATGTGTGCATATGGAGCGGCAGGAAATGGCTGTTGTACTATGATGCTCCGTCGTGGCCAACTACTGGGCGAAATACTTTGGTGTGATGCTGATATTCTTGAAAGAGCTCAGGTGGTATGAGTAAGACACTGCACCCACCACATGCAAAATAAGAGTGTAGACATTGAGTTGCAGACACCAGACCATTACACCATACTATACTACAATATGTTGGTACATATTACTGGGATAGACATGTGTTTTGCACTTATTGTGCTGATTGATTTTGTGTTTTATAATTTCAGAACCTAAAATGTGAATCTAAAATTAAAGTAAGAATACTTAATCATCAGCCTGTGATTTCCCTGGCTAATCTAAAAGTTAATTACTTTGGTAAGTACTCAAACAACTTTACTTGTTATTTTTCTTAAACATTTATTAAAAATACTTTTTTTTTTTATATAACAGTGCTGGGCAAAATTTAATTGTTCTGGCAATTATAGGTTGACAATTAATTAATTGTCAATTGCGAAACAGCAATTAACGATTGATCAATAGTTAGTTGCGAAAACCGCAATTAACAATTAATTAGTTGTTTTTTGCGGTTCTCGAATCTAACAATTGATCAATCGTTAATCGCGTGTATCTACAATTAATCAATTTTCAATCTTTTCAATGTTTTTGATTAACAATTAACAATTAAAACTGACAATTATGATAAATTTATAGTAATTATTTAGTTAGTAGTAGTAAATTATTTAATTATGATATAATTATATGGGAGCAAACCCTAACTCACCCCCTACACCACCTCCTAACCCATATTCGTAATGACACTTTTGTTCGGTAATTTCGGTTTTAATTGTTAGTTTCAATTGTTTCTTAGAACAACTAAACAAATTAATTACAAATTAATTTAATTGCAATTAAAATCAGTTCAATTGAAATCAATCGCAATAAAATAAATTGCAATAAAAGCAATCGCGACATGTCGCAATTGATTTAATTGCAATTGATCAATTGAATTGATTTTTTAATCTGATTGAATGTCTGATTGAAATTTAATTGATTAACGCCCAACACTGGTATATAATATCAAGTGACAGGACAGACAAGTCGTGCGCCTGATGATAAACTACACACCTGTATGGACAATTGCAGTGCCACTCTGTTTTAAATCACAAAGATCTGGGACATGATCTCTTATTACGATTCAGTTTAGGACCTAAAATGATTTGTTGTGAGACAGTGCTACATGCAGTGTATATCACCATCCCGCTTTTCTGTCTTTACGAACCTATACTGAATTGTAATTAGAGTTCATGGTAAGGCCCCTGAGGGGCACTGCCACTATGCCCGTCACCCTGAGACATAAGTTGACAAGTCCCATGTGCCTATAATTTCACAAGCACCCAAAACCGGAGCACAGTAATGCTGACATTACTGCTTGGCAACAGAAATAGGTAAAGTACTTATATAGGTAGTTCCCTGAACGAACTCTTTCACAAGGAGCTCTACTGCTACTAACTAATGTCTTTTAGGTCCCGGCTAGGATCCCCAGCTGGGTAATGTAGAAATATCTACTATTTTGTCTCAGGTCCGGGTGTCTGTGGTAACGTCGTTGTTTCTGATTTCCATAACACAATTGCTTTAGTTACTTTGGGATCAGAGCAACATATGTGATATTTAATATACATATTTATTTAATATATTTCATTATTTTGTTAACTTTTGTGGTCTCTGTAATTACCAGACCTCAAACCTCAATCTGTCAGTGTTATGATGATTTAAATTCTTGTAATATTGTCATATTAAATACTCGCTTGTGGGTATAGCTGCACTATTCAATTGTCAGCTGTATTTTATTGTTTATTACAGGCAAATTGGTGACAATAAAAGGCACTGTAATTAGAGTAGGGAGTGTTGGTCTGATTTGCACATCTATGGCTTTTGAATGCATGAGCTGCCACAGTGTTCAGGCTGTAATGCAACCACAAGGGCTTTTCACAGGTATTACATTCAATTTCAGAAAAATGGTTGTCAGTTTCTCCGGCAGTAGAACAATGCCGCATTGTTCACTATTTAACAAAACTTTTTTCCTTTTTGTTATTTATGATTTTAGCGCCAAATTTTTGTCAGAATTGCCAAAGTGGTTCCAAATTTGAAACCCTACATTCTTCACCATTCACAAATACAATGGATTGGCAAATGGCTAAAATACAAGAAATACAATCTCAAGTAATTATTATCAATATTTATAATATGTAACATATGAAACATTTGAAGTGTTTTGTGAGCATGGATTATGTCCAAATTGTTGGAAGTCTTGTAATCTGTAACATTCAGTACATTGGTTTAAAGTTTCATTTTCACGCATTATTTCATTTAAAAAAATCGAAACTTATCGCGTATAAATAGGGAGGAATCTCGAAGGAAGACCCTTCGAGACGACGGTTGTTGCAACACGTCCAAAACGTCGAGGTAAATAAAAATTTGTTTATACGCGGTAAAACTCCTTTTTTTTTAGATCAAATAAATGTAAAATACAGGATTTCCAATAATAATTTGTAAATTGTTATGAAGTAATTACTGGTGGTGGGGATCTCTGTATAGAACCTACCAAGGAAGGCACCTGTGCACTCTCTACATTTTTCTGCGGCAATACAGCAATGTCGTGTTTCGCTTTAAAGGTTAACGAGAGCCAACATGCGAAACATGCACACACTGAATACTAAACATACGTAGTTCCTTAGTACTTCCTTGGTGATCGATACGTCTCTGGCTACCCCAGTGAGAATCCAAAGGCGATTTACTTCCTAAGGGTGCCTTCAAATTAGACGCTTGTAGAAGCGCTGCAGTGGCGCGACTGTGACTGCAGCCGCGCGTCTGTAGCGCATCAGTAATTTTTAGTTCACTAAAATTGTGACTGCAAAAATGTCGCGCGCGTATCACTTCAGCGGCAGTGCAACTGCGCTTCTAAATAATGTATTAAAATTAGTAATGGCGCGGCGCTTCTATAAGCGTCTAATTATTAACTAATTTTATATTATATTAAATATAAATTAATAACTTTCTATGTGGCTGGATATAAAAAATAAATAATTATAACATATAAATTGTCTATATAAATTAGTCGTACATTATACCGTCTATTTCAGAGCATTTCAGGAACTATTCCAAGAAGTGTTGAGATAGAGCTCCAAGGCGACCTAGTTGGTACTGCTTGTCCAGGAGATGTGCTTTCTGTAACTGGAATAGTTCAGGTATTGTGTGGTTACCTTATAATGAAATATATTGAATTAATGCTTCAAATACAAACAAGTTGCAACGTATCAGTGGCGGCGGTACGTGAACAATTCGATTCTAGCTAGTAGGGCCAATTCCTTGTACTATGAGTACCCACCTGAGTAATGAAATCAGATCTCGGGTTTGGGGTAATACAGAACACTCAGACCATATTTATTAATAATTTTGTAAATTTCGATTCAGTCTAAACGGAAATTAGAACCCGGACCCACTGTATGAAACGCCTCACAGTGCTACGCCACGAGGCCATAGAAGTCGCCAAAATTAAAACATTATTAACCTAACCTCCGGTTAAATAAACCGTGGTCAAAAGTCATTCATCCCCTAGTTTGCCACCCTTAAAGGTGGAATATTATATATTATATATTGGATTATTTTCTTGAAATTTAAATGGGACCACATCTGAGGTACCTTCTTTCCAACAAAAAAGAATCATCGAAATTGGTTTACAAATGGCGGAGTTATCGCGTAACATACATACAAAAAAAAACAGACGAATTGAGAACTTCCTCCTTTTTTTGAAGTCGGTTAAAAATACTAATACAATATGTATTTTAGTTAAATGTATAATCTGGGACTGTGCATATCGTATGTAATATATTTCTAATTAGAATTATGAATTTTACTGCACATTTTCCTAAAATTTCTTAACAATTTATCGAATATACTCGGACACAATGGTTCGGACTCCTCATATCGAAACAATGCCGAAAACTTCTTAATGAAATTACATAAATGAATCATAATTCTTGTAAAAGTAAGTATAGCAAATATTTCGGGTATATACATACGGGTTGTATATATAGTATATTCTACGACCTTCCTGGTCGCGGTCCCGGGCTCTATTACCGACCGGGTCAATGTAGACAACTAACTTACTTACTTTGTTCTGATCTGAGCAACGTCTAATATTTATTTAGTATAAGATCTTTTTTTTTGTAAAGGACACTTAGAATAAAATTGCTACATTCAAATTAAATTTTCCATTGTAAGGTTAGAGGCGAAAGCAAAGGAGGTGAAGATGGTAAAAGAGCAGCCAGACTTTTACAATTGTACATTGAAGCTACTTCAATACATAGCCAAAGAAATCTAAGCAATCCTACACTATCATTCACTTTGAAAGACTATTATGCTATTCAGGTACCTGTTTACTTCTCACTCATACTGTTATAAATTCTTCATGGATTCATTTGTTTAAGTATAGAAAAGAGAAAGAGAGTATTTTTGTAGTAAAGAAAAAAAGGAAATTAGTTTTCTCACACTTTCCTGCTTTCACGCATTATTGTAGTAATTACTGCTTATAAAAAAACACTAAAACTAACTAACACAAATACAATTTCTGTCTGTTGCGCCTTGCTGTATCGCTTTATAATCTAGACCGCTTTGTCAGTAATTAATTAATTGTAATTACAGGAAATTCACGCATCAGAAGACGTATTCAAATTGCTAGTACACTCTTTATGTCCCTCAATATTTGGCCACGAGGCTGTTAAAGCAGGTCTTGTACTAGGTTTGCTTGGTGGGACTGAGTATGAAAATGGATCGAGGTCCAATCCTCACATTTTGGTTGTAGGAGACCCTGGATTGGGGAAATCACAGCTTTTGCAAGCTGCAGCACATGCTGCGCCCAGAGGTTTGTTTTTAGATTTTAAGGCTCTAAAATGTACTAGGTTGCAATAGTGCCCACTGCTGGGTTAGCTAAGTCATTTAAGAACACATCTTGGTCATGGTCTTAAAAAAATATGATAATTACAAATCTATTCCGTGACCTTTTTGAGACGTAAGTTGCCAACAGATTTGCTCAGTATTTAACGATCGTTATTGCCTCTCGATCTGTCAGCTACCAGATTAGGCTCGATTTATCGATCGTTACTTTTGTCTTTTACGATCGATAAATAT